ATATATGAGAATATTATTATATACATATAAATATATCATTTTGTTATATTTATGCTATTAGGCCACTCAATTCTTGTGAAAATTGTGGATCAAATAAACAAAATAATAGTAATTCATATTTTGATTTCGTGCTGTTTTATAAAAGGGATTTCCCAATCAGAAGAAGTTATCTCATCAGTCACATAACAATAGATAATCTAAATGTTTAATTGCGTTGTTATAAGAAAAAAAAAAATATTTTGGATAAAAGATTTTTCAAAATGCAAAATAAATTTCTTCCTAATTTGGAAATTATTTTTGAATTATATATATATTGATTATAAAAATAACTAGAGCAGGTAACTGTGCATTAATATCTTGGCAGAAAAACCTAATTAGAATTTTTCATTGATACATCCTAAATAAATCCAAATCTCTAAAAAATTTTTCAATAATTTTTATATTTAATTGTAATTTAATACATTTGGTTCATATTTTCAAAATTTTAGATTCCTTTATATTTTTTTTAAATAATGCTCTTTTCATCCATAAATTCACAATTGTTGATTATTGGTCATGTTTGATTTAATTAAAACTATAAGGAATGCTTTCATGAGTACTTATTGAATGGTAATAATTATAATTCACCAATATATTTAATACTGAATTATTATTCATTCATTCATTATTGAAAAAAATAATGATTTGCAAAGATAACTTTTAATTAATTTCAACCATAACTACATTAGGCAATCCATTAAAATCAGAGTAACTTTACTTGCAATCATAGAATATTAAGTTCTATAATAATTTTACTTAATAAGATGAAATACTTATCAAAAGGCTGTGTTCAGTTTTCTCAACTCCCTAATTATAGAGTTTAAAATCTTCCTGAATTAATTATTTCTAACTATCAACAAAACTTTTTTATATTAATATAAATAATTATTGTTACCTAAGGAATATCAATAATATTATAATTGAAGATTATATTTATGTAATTCTCTTTGATTCAAGACAATGAATTTAAAATGATGATTTTAATGGTCACAAGTGATTAGAAGGAAATTTAGGATATCCTTCATAAAGAATATTATTATATATATTTTACATACATTCTCATGGAATAATTTGTCTTTCTTCACTATAGGATACTGTTAATGGATAAGATTTCTCAATTTTCTCTAATAATTTCATTGACTTTGAGGAAAAAATTTAAGGTTCTAAGATTTGAAATTATTTAAATTACAAATAAAATTCAAGATAATATCTTGAAAATTATATTAGATTTATCAATCTATCTAATTAGCTATTATAAGAAGTATTAAAAACATAGATAAGTCAAAAACTAAAATAACTGCATCAAATATAAATACTGATTTCCAGTTATGTGCTATATTTTTTGAATGAATCTTTAATTTTATGTTATTTTTCATAGATAGGATTATATGATTTTCGATCAACAAATAGGAACTTGAACAATTTATAAAATGAGAGATTAAACTTCAATAATTTAAAATAACGGAATAGTTTTAACTATTATTTCAATACAATAAAATAGCAATTATAATTATGGAAAATTTTTGATTAACAGATTGTATTTAAGTGAACTTAGGTTAATAACTTAATAAATTAATTTATCAGTGGTACTAATAATTGTATTTATAATTGTTCTTGTTTAAAGAACAAGAATTACATTTATTTAATTTAGACATTACTCGTTTTCTTGTAATACATTTTATCTAAAGAATAAGGTCGATGTTTTTAATAGGTTTATTAACTCTAATGGAATATAGTCCAATAATGTTATATATAATTTGTTTGATGTATTTAAATCAAGTATTGGTTTTGATCTATCTAACTTCTAACTTATTTTTAAACTTTAACATTCTAATGCGTAGTTGTTAACAAAATTAACAAGACTTTCAAATAAACTTAAGTGAGCATTGAGATAAATCATTAAAAGGTTGTTCTTTCATTAACATACTTAATTACAATTTTTGTACTTAAATATCATTGTTGAAGCTCCAACAGTTCTTATTGCTTACATAAAATAACTAGTTTCCATGATTATATTTAAGTCCTTTAATTGGTAATACCAGCCACTTATTGGATTAAAAAGTTATTGCACTACTTGTATATATTTAAATAGCAATCAAAATTTAATATAAGTAAAAATCTAGGAGGAATGATTAACAGACTTGCTTTTAAAATAATAATAACCTAATTGTTATTAGGTATCAATATGATGATCAAATTTTCCCAAAATTAAAAATATTATTGTAAACTAAGCAATTACCAGAATACATACATTTAATCCAAAAGAATTTTATGTTAAACTTTAAAGATTTTACTTAGAGTTTCAATCAATTCTAAAGGAAATTAAATTTATTTTAAACTTTAGTAATAAAAAGAGAGAATCTTAAAAAAGAATATTCATCTTATGAAAATTATAAATATTTCAGTTGGAGAACAATGAAATATTTAAATAAATATACAGAATTCCTAAAATTTATTTAATATGCAGAAACAAAAGAAGAATTAAATAAATGAGATCAAATTGAGTCTATTAAGAATTTGTTAGCATGGGTAGCATATATGAAAACTAGGTAAACTTTAAAATTCTTAATATTTCTGAAAACACAGATGATAAAATATTGTTCTAACGTGAGTTATCAAATTAGAATTAGCTCTATACTTCAAACCAGCATGATTTCAATTATACTTCAGAAAATCTTCTTAAGAGTTTAGTTAAAAAGATTTTTAACCAAAAAAGAATAAGCTTATTAAATTAAAATTTTTAAAGTCTGTTTTCCTTCTGTCTTAAACTTTTAACTTATTTCTGATTCTATTTTATAAGAATTAATTCCTGAATTTGATTTTTGGATTTTAGCTCTTTATCAGTTTGATTATTTTCACTTTAATTTATGAATCTTAAAGTTCATTAATAATCTCATAAAAATTTCATCTTTCTATTTCATAAGATTCATTTATCTCTTCTAACCATTTTGAAAACTTTTCTTTTATCAATTCATAAAAGTTATCAAGAAATTATTAATAATTTTATGTTATTTATAAAGCCAATAATTAACTAACTGTAATAAATAGTGTTTTTAATGGAAGTTTATCTTTAGATATAAAGTATTATGAGCTTCTATTTAATTTAATATTAAAATTTTTAATTTTTAATTGTTATCTTAAATTAAACAAACCATCTTAAATAAATAATTTTAATAAAACACAAGTTTTTTTACAAGTTCCCGTTTTTCCAAATATAAACGTAAAATCTTTCCTAATAATGACTTATAATTATTTTTCTCTGAATTTAGGTAATTTTTATTTAGTTTACCTATTGATAAAGCTAATGGTATGAAATAAATTTCTTTATCCTATAATAATTCGCAGTTTAAGCCTAAACTTTTATCATTTTTTCTATATTGACTCATCTAATTTTTTAGCAATATAAGTTTTTGATTGATTATCAAATAATACAAATGACTTTTATTTAATATAATAGAATATTTATCCTAATTTTTAAAAACATAAATTATCAGTATTTGCCTCTTTGAATCTATTCCTCTATATATCTCTAGTATATTGAAATTAAAAAGTTAAGCATTATCATTCCTTGTACTTACTTGATGTCACAATCCTTTAAAATTGTACTATAATATTAGTAAATGAATTGAATTGTCATGTATTTTGGATTATGAATTATCAATTACACTTGATTATCCCTCCAAATATCCTCTTATCTATTTGCATTTACTTTTGCAAAATACTTACATAATAACCACTAGTTTCACCCTTTTTTCGAGTAATTTTTCCATTATTGCAAGATACAATTCTCTATATATCAATTTGATAACTACAACTGCATGATTATTCTACAATTCAATAGTTTTTTCCCCTTTCTCTTCAATCTTGCATAAAAATCTCTCTCTAATTACACTCTTTTTTATAAATTTCATTCAACTCCATTAGTCAGATTTTGGTTTCTGATCACTTTTGCAACTTAAGTTTTTATGTAATGATTTACAATATGCCTCTTGTATCTCTAATTATCCTAATATTGCATTACTTATAAAAACATAGCTTTTCTATCTTCCTTAAATTTTAGAAATTCTACTTTTTCTCTATATTATCAATCTTCAAATTTGAATTTTCCATAAAAGGATACTAGTTTTAATGCTAATTGAAAGTATCTATCTGCATTCTCCTTTATTTCAAGGACATCTGTAAATAATATTAATTTCTATCTAAACCTGTTCTCTATTGCAAAATCTCATTGTATAATCCATGATTTTTCACAGAAATTCAAATGAACAGCATACTTCATCAATTCATTGTTTACTTAAAATCATATTAGGAAAAACTTTTAATATTAATTATATATATTGTTTTATCATTATCTAAATTGTAAATATTTGATAGAAGAGGTGTTATATATTTAATAACACTGATCAAAATGGCATGTAGAAAATCTATAGGAATAGATGAAAACTATTATAATATTCATCAATTTTACTAAACTACCAATCAAAGTCTTGACTACAATATAATAAAAAATTCTCTCAATAATAAAATTAGTTGTCAAGATTATTCAAATGAATAAATATTTAATTAATATTAAGATATTTATAATAGATTCTTATTACAAATACAATAATCCAACAATCACAAAAATTAAGTCTTTTTTTAACAGAATGATGATAATTATTGATAAATTTTAAAATCATTTTTTTAAAGATTAAGTCCGCTTAAAATTATTTTAAAACACTGGTTTTGGTAATTTAGAAGCAGGTGTTAATTAATTTCTTTTGATTGTAGTTTTTTTTTCATTTATTGCAATTTAATGAGGCTATATTGATAAATTTGTTAATTATTGCTATTAAATAATTGGTTTTACTAATTGCTATAATGTTTATTATTATTATTATTATTATTATTACTATTATTATTATTATTATTAAGTAATTTCTGTTTCAACTTTTCCATTAAAATTCTATAATTCTAGTTCATATTATTTGAGCTATTTTTGAAATCCAAAGTTCGGACTTACTACACTTCTCTTTAATCTTAAAAATTAAAAGGCATCTTAAAAAGAGATTCCCTATTTTCTCATAACATATGCTATAACTGTAGCAGCTGATCTAGATACACCAGCCCTACAATGAACTAGTACACTACCCTTTTGCAGTCCCTCATCAATTTATTAATAGGTATCTTCCCATATTGTTTTTATATTAAATGAATCGATATCTAGAATATTGTAAACCTATTATTATATATTGGATCTATACTTTATGGATAATATCACAAGTAGAAGAGTATTTAACATTTAAACCAGACGCTATTGTTAATACAGTTTTGATATTCTTTTATTTCAACAGTTATTAATTTATCGCTGCAGGGTAGTCTCCTAACCATAAAGCTCTTTAATTCTCTGTTTAATCTAATATAGTATTCATGCTTTGGTAGCTGCTTCTGCCTTTATGTAGCATATTGATGCTGCTTCTTAATTAAGAAAAAAAATAATTAATAATTTAAATAACAATTTAGTTCATATTTATATATATTAACTAAACTCTTTTAAAATCTATATATGATAATATTGATAGATATAGAAAATTATTGCTCAATTTTACATAATTAATATCTAATAGTTATTAAATAAAATAATATTTAGCAATATAATTTTTAAAGATAGTTTTAATATTTACAATTTAAAATTCAAGTCCTATACTTAAAGTGATTTCAAAAAAAGATATAAAATTTTGAGATCCTCTGTGTTTATAATTAAATACTTGAAGATATTAATTTAATCAACAAAATTTTTTCTAAAAATCAGTATTAATATAATTTCTTCAAATATTTCAACTAATTCCTAAAAAATGAAATCTCTAATATGTTTATTGAATACAACAAAGAAGAAAAGGGATTTAAACTGCTCCTCCTCAAAAACCTTTCTCTGATTATTTGATGAGCTTGTAGGAATAAATATATAAACCAAAAAAGAAAAGCAAAACTTAGATTAGTAAGACTTTAAACTAATTGTGTTATCAGAAATACTAAAAAATCAGATAAGATAACAATATTTAATAGGTAAATTAAATTTTATTTAAATGGGTATATGATTTGTTTTAATATATAAAATACTTTTTCTAGTTTTAATTTGGGTAAGAAACTTATAAGCTACTATTTAGAGATACTAAGTTTATATAGATAGAAAATTGATTAAATATCTCGCAACTGATTCAAATCACGAGGCTATAAATTAATTAAGTATACTACAAGAATAAAGTAAGACACAAAAGTGGCAACTAAAAGAAATTTATTTAGGATCTTATATCATTCTTCTGCTTGATTTTTCAGTAGGAGAGTAGCTGAGGAACTGATAC